GCTAGAGATCAGCGAAGCGGGCTTTGGATCCACCGTTCACATGAGCGACTTGGTGGGTCATGGGGACTTTTTTAGGTTGGGTTATTATATGGCTTATAGGGGTTATTGACCTACTTACTAAGTCCCCCTGACCATCCAAGTGTAGTCTCAACTCCTTGGAGGAGGTTATGCAGGATTTGGGCTTTACGGTCTAAACTCCTTAAAGGGTGTTATATAGTTTAGGGTCTAAACTTCTTAAAGGGGATTAAATAGGGGACTATATGCGGGAGTATTATAGGAGTTTTTCATGGGGACACGTGGAGTTTAGGCTATAGCCCAGCAGTTAAACAGAGCCTAACATGCATGGAGTGTACAAAACACTCACCAAGCCCTATACCTGATGCCAACCTGGCGAATAAGGGTTTCCATTATCTGTTTCATACAACTCCTATATACAACCCCAATATACTCTATATATATGTATATGTGTGTGTATGTATATATATATATATATCCCCTATATAACCCCAATATAAAGACACCAACCCCAAACCTCAAAGCATTTAGGTTTTAGGGTTTGGACATGCCCACTCATTTCCTATCTGTGGCCTCTTTGAGAGGGCTGGAACGGCGAGGTAAGGGAAGATGGTAGGGTTCAGGGGTATAGGAAAAAGCCGCAACCTAAAGGCACCTACAATAGGGATCCTATTTAGCCCGCCTGCCTTCATCCATCTTCATGCCACCTTTTCATCCCTCGACTCTCTAGCAACCGTGCCATGACGCTACAGTACTGAGGATTCCGCTTATCCACCGTATCACCCACCGCTCGACATCCCACACACGCAAAACGTAGCAAACAATGCTATTTCCTCTCGCCTCCACCGTCAATACCTGAACCCTTAAACCCCAACCTAGAACCCTAAACATCAAACCCTAAACCCTAACCCCCTGAATCAAACCCTGGGCCTATACCGATACCTAAGCTTGGCCCTCACTTGGGAAATTGTGCTGTGACCCCAACCACACGCTATCGCACAGTACATTGGAATGCAAACATGGGCCCAAACATGTCAGTAATCCCCAAGCCTCTGCCCAACCCAAACAAACATGGAAGCGCAAAAAGAACCCTAACATAAACCCTAAACTCTAAACCCTAATCCCTAACATGAGCACGTTCCTCCATGGGATTCTACGATGCTTTGGGGCAAGAAAATTTTCCGTAGCCTAAGTATACATTGTACGCAAAAAGGGTTCAGAGTCTAGGGGTTTAGGGTTTAGGGGCTTACAGTGTGGGATTCCACTTCACATTCTGAACCCTATACCCTAAGACCTGTACGCATCAAGCACTTCACCCAAGCCCCAGGCCTTTGCATCCATCGCTGTGAACGGTGCCGGGCTGTCCGAGGTGAGCGACTTGGGCGAAGTTTCCTGTGCTAGCTACGTAGAGTGGGAATAAGTAGTGATATGCACGACTATGTATACACATGTAATCCCAGGTCCTACAAACCTATAGTTCCCCCCGAGTAGACAGCATATTATGGGGTATATGGGGTTTTATTACAATACACCCACAGCCACATTCTATCTACTTAGGGGAGACTATAAGTGCAATAACTCTAAGAATCGACAGCTCACAGGTTACTATGTGTGAATAAGTTGGGTTCCCCTAAACAACTCTCTCAGCTGCTAAAGACTCCTAGTTTCCATCTCATTGTGCACATGGATTCTGCGGAGGTTTAGGGTTTAGGGTTTGGGTTACAACTTCTTGGGCTTTGCCTGCGAACCCTAAACCCACCTAGTTCATGTATAGTCGGTTTGTTGCGGCTGAAGCTCTACAATTTTACCCTCCCGCCCAACCACCATGGAACCCAAAAAAGGTCTTATAGATAATGGGCCACTAATCCTTTTAAAAACGCCTACGTGGAATCTTATACCAGTGAAAATTTGAGAGCGGGTAGGGTTTGGGGGCTTCACGGACTAGAGTCCCCCTTGAGTAGATAGAATATGGCTTGGGGCATAGAATAATAAATCCCATATACCCCATATTCTATCTACTTAAGGGGGACTACAGGAGTTTCGGGCAGCCAAGGTGTGAACTTTGCATCTGCAATGGCCCCTGGGATTCTAATGGGGGTCACATGCGTAACCTTTGCCTAGCTAGGAATGAACGGATGGATCTTTATACAAGTCACTATATAACCCATCATAGTAGCTTCCACTTTCCTTTCCATTTCTTCATTCCCAGCTCACCAAAGGTAAGATGCTCAAGACTCGGACATGCGTGCATCACAAAACTACTTGCGCCAGGAGTTCTGGCGCTGTATTTGCAGTGCTGTAGGAAGGAATCTCACTAGCGCCTTATTGTCAGGATGGGGAAACGCAGAGAACACCGGTATTCAAGCAAGGGCCTCAATCGTCAGAAACTCCTGTTTTGAAGGCCCCTAAAAGGTGAAAGACTAGTAACAAGCATTGCTTGAAATAAAGTCCCCCTTAAGTAGATAGACTATGGGGTATATGGGGATCTTAGTATAATACACCCAAAGCCTAAGGGGGACTAGAATAGAAAAAATTCCTTTAAACCCTAAACCCTAACTTTGCTTTGGCCATGCTGCAGCCGCATCGATTAGCTGGAAGTCCATTTGCAGAGCGCGCTCTTGGGCAACCAGGACAGGCAAGAATTGCCTCAGAAAACAAACCAGGACCCTCCTTGTACCCTTATATAGGGGTATATGGTCCCTGGAAGCGGGTATTTAGGGTATATAGAGGATAGCTGGAGGGTCTTGGAAGAGAACATGTGTCACCGAGATTAGGTTTTAGGAATTGGGGTTTAGGCTTCGGATTTCGGCCAAGTCGTCTCTGGAGTGCGGAACCAACAACATGATAATGTGATTCTTCTGGGTCACTATACCCGGACCAGAGACATAATCTTGTTCTATGTTGAGGACTATAGAACCCCTAAACCCTAAACTACTACTCAACTGGTAGATTCGATTCTTTCTCAAGCCGAGGGTGGGAGAGAGGAGGTAAGAGGAAATAAGCCGGTGACAGACTGCATCGAAGCGCCACGGCTGTGCTGAGTGTCTTGCTACTACAGGGGCCTAATTAATTACCAAGTTCATGTTGGGGTCCGTTTGAGGGACCATAAACCATAGTTGTATAAGGAATATGGAACCATAATATTGGTAATTATTTAGGCCCCTATATTAGGTAAGCACTCGGGGTTCCTATAGCCCTATCAATGAACAAGTGTAGTCTTGGCAGAGCTCAGCGACTGTGCTTATGAACTTTCGAAAGTGTGCGCTCTCCCTGGATTTCCCGCCTTTCCCACCCCCCTCCATACCACCTCTCTTAGGTTCCCGGCTTCATTGAGGTATCTACACAAAGAGGCCTAATTCAGGTTGATTAACTAACTAGGGGAACCTTGGGGGGCGGGATAATATAGTTTGGGGGGGCAGTATAGAAGAACCTATGAGGTCCCCTGGTGAGGCGCTGATGATGCCAAAGGAGTTGTGAGCGGAACCCCGAAGTACAGTTCCATGGTCTAAATTGCTTTGTCCCTGGAACGCGTCTCCCCAACCGGGGGCTTGCAGTACTTCTTGGCTTTCCTTGGCAGCCCTATACCTAGCATCATATTGGGCTTTGCTGAATTTCGGTTGAGCTGTAGATACACTAGCATCTGGCAGCAACAGGTATCACGAAAGGTACCAGGCTTTACATATGCTCTAAACACTACATCCTAAATCCTATGGAAGCCGCTTAGCCGGAGCCTGTTGAAAGATGATTGCAAGATAGTTACCGCAAAGGGGACTCCGCCTGAACCCTGTCTTTACTGGTTGCTGGGAACGAATCCTGGGAGTAGTCCTATAATCCCGGATAAATAATGCTGAAGTAGCCGTCATTTTCTTTCCATTCCTTCATCGCCTACTGACAACCCACAAGTCATTAAACTCGGAGCCTTGACGGATATCTTGAGCGATTTCAAGACACCGTGCTGAAGCGCAAAGGCAATTAGAAGATGACACACACCCAAATCAAGAGGTGCACCAAGTTTCAGGGTTTAGGGCTTAGGGTAAATGAGCTCCTAAGCCCAAAACGCGTGCCCTGCTATGAAACGTAAAGCCTGAACCCTGGGCGCGAAACTACTGCACTTCCTGAACCCTGAGCCCAGACCCTAAACTGCAAACTCTAAACCTACACCCTGGGCTCTATAGCCTATAGTTCCTGAGCCCCTAAAGTCTCAAGCCTAAACCCCTGCAACCCAGGACATGTTACCCTACAGGCAAGTGGCAGTACATCCCAAGGTCCCTGGGCCAAGAGTTCCAGAGGAAATCGGGGGCCTGCAAAACCTGGCACTCATGTTTAGAGTATCCTAAACCCTTTTGAACCAGGAGCTGGGGAATAGATGCCTGGAAGTGAGGCCCTAAAACCCTAAACCCTAAACCCTACGAGTTGATCTTTACGCATATGCCCAGGTGTAAGGCGGTTTATAGGGATTTAGAGAGTTCAGGGTTTACTTGTAACCCCCAATAGCCTGCAACTCAATAGCAATTACCTGGATGCCTAAGTGTATCTAGAACGGCCTTTTATGGTTCTTGGGCCATCCTTGCACGTACTTTTTTGGGGGAGTTAGGGTTTAGGGGTTAAAGGTCAAGGGTTTAGGGGTCAGGGTTTAGGGGTGAGGGTTAAGGGTTTAGGGGTCAAGGGTTTAGGGGTGAGATTTACCCAAATAATTGAGATTAAGGCAAGGTTTCACCCCCTAAGCCCTCTGAGCCTTGCAATGTAGATCCTTTGCCGACACCAAGCCCTCATGCCTGCAAACTGACATCTGGAACCCAAACCTCCAAACTTGAAAAGCCCTTACCCCCCCCCCTCCCATCCTCTGGGAATATGGCTAGGGTTTAGGGCTCAGGGCTTCATACCCTAAACCCTAAACCCTAAACCTCAAACCCTAAACCTCAAACCCTAAACCTCAAACCCTAAACCTTAAACCCTGAATCCCTGCATCCAGCCCTAAGCCGAGCCGTCGAGCTCGACGAAGGTGTGGATGAAATGAAGCCACAGAGTCCGCAGAGCATAGCCCGTGGATATAGCGGCTCCTTGCCACTGGTAGTTTAGGGTTTAGGGTTTCGGGTTTAGAGTTTTAGATAATAGTTTAGGGTTTGGGGTTTAGGGTTTAGGGTTTAAGGTTTACGGTCTTATCTAATTTTCGGAGCTGAAATTAACCCAATTTGGGACTCTTGTCTATGTAAAACACTCATTTCAGGTGGGGCCGGGTGAGGTCATTCAAAGTTGCCCATTCTAGGCTAGGCAGATATGTTGCGAAACACACTCGTGTGAGGACCATACCTGGCTATCAGTCTTTACCTGTCTAGCTTTTAGGCCAGCAGCTCTAGAGGTTTGGGGGGTGGTCTTACACGGCCCGCACCAAAAAGGAACACACTGGGCCTAGAAAATGCGACACCAAGTACATCTCCAAGGCAGACTGTACGTGCTGACGTTTTGCCAAAACTGGCAGGCAAAAACATAAACAGAACGAGGCCTCCTACGCGATGTGCCTCATTCCCTATCTACTTCAAGAGGACCCTAGCCTTCAGCCCAAAACCCAAAACCGAAAACCCCTAACTCCTAAACCCTCAACCCTTAAACCCTAAACCCTAAACCCCTAAACCCTAAAACCCCAAACCCTAAAACCCTAAACCCAAAACCTAAAACCCCTAAACCCCGAGAAGCCCCGGAGCGGGGGAGCCCCGGAGTCCTTCCCGAGCCAAAGAAAAGGCGATGATCAGAGTGCTCCAAAGCCTGGGTTGCTGTTAAGGCGGGTTATGGTTTAGGGTTTATGGTTTAGGGTTTAGGGTGTAAGGTTTAGGGAAGGAACTTAAATTAAGTTACCACAATTGGTATATATATATATACATACATAGTAATAGATATTGTTTCGCCAAAGTAGTAAATTAACTCAGGTTCCTTGACCATAAACCCGCAGCCCTGTACCCATTATAGTAACTTAAATTAAGTTCCTTGACCCTAAACCCTCCCTACCCATTATAGCAGCTTAAATTAAGTTCCTTAACAGCAACCCAGAGGCGTTCTTCCACAGAAGTCTACCAGATGAAGCCACTTGCCAAAGTTCACCTGCCCAGAAGTAGGTTAGTTTAGGGTTCATGATTTAGGGTTTAGGGGGTTAGGGTTTAGGGTTTTAGAGTTTAAGGTTTCAGGGTTCAGGGTAAAGGATCGGAGGTACCAAAAGAGAAGTTACTGTGGACCTAGGACCCATCTGAGCCATAGTCTAAACTCTAAAGGGGGGGTTATGTAGGGGATGATATAGGGGCGCATTATAGGGGTTACTAAGGGAGATACTCGGAGTTTAGACTAGCTCATCTGGGCCCGAAATCATGTACTGTTTGGCTACTTGGCCCCTAGGGTCAGGAAGCTTGCGGCAATTGTGAAAATGCGGTTGCATTCGAATACGCTCGGAGACTTTTATCAGTGTTTTGCAGAACGCCAAGACCCACGAATTCTCAGAAAGCAATTTCGACCTAGGTTGCCTCTAGTTACATGAGCGCAAACATCTTCAGCTGAAGTTGGGAAACCCTTGGCATGTTCCCTACATGTAGGCGTGCTTGTTTGTTTTAACTTTGGGACCCTCTAGCCCTGAAACTGGGCGTCTGTTGAGGAACCAATTCAGACCAAGGTTGCTCCTACTAAGCCCGAAACCCTAAGCCCCAACCCTAGGGCTCCAAATAGCCCAATGTAGGTACCATTTATAGATATTGCGGCCCAATGTAGGTATTTATAGACATGGAGCCCCAGGGTAAGCCCCGAACCCTAAACCCTAGCGAGTATCTGGGTGTTATCGCCTTTAGGATGTTCGGTTGCAGGGCTGAAGGTTTAGGGCTTAGGGTTCATTCAAGGCAGGGAAAATCTCAAGGGCTTCCCTGCCTTTAGGTTCTGGCGCAGACGTTTTGGGCAAGGGTGACCATGACCGTAAGGCCTTGTTGCCGCTGGCTCGCGGTTAAAACCCTGAATACTATTTAGGGCTTAGGGTTTAGGGTGTGTTATGGAGTTGCTGGCAACCCCATGCACGTCCCTAGTTGAAGGGTCATGGAACACTCATGGGTAATTCTAAGTGAGGTCAGGCACTTACAACCCAAACGCGTGCACATCTAACCAACACCTTGAGAATGTCTCATAGTGGCTGCTGATGAACCTGAAAGCGTCCCTGCCTGCAACACCCTGCAAGCCTGAATTGATCCCGCGAAGCACTCGAGAGAATCCCTTGCCTCCTCCATCAGGATCGCCGCCAGCAGTTGCGCACCCGGTCTTCGAATGCTGGGAGGAGAATCGAGGCGGGAGATCTGGTCGTGCAGTCGGTTTAAATCGAACTTCCGAAGCTGTGATAGGGACATCCTTGGTCCTTGTTGTACTCCCTGGTACGCAAAGGCCCGTTTTTTGGGGTTCAGAGTTGAGGGTGTAAGGGGGCGGGTGGGACTTACAAACCACGTTTAAAATTTGGGCTAGTCACCCATCAGCTACGTACAACTTCGCTGATAACTCATAACCCCAGGGGTAACCTACCTTAGCCCATGCCTGGAGGGCTCATCTAACCACCCCAGTTCTCCCCACTGACTAAGTTCCACTGGCCCTCCAAGTAGGATGCAAGTCACAGCCGAGCATCTCGGTGCATTGGTTAGCCATGCTTTCCTTATGGCTTGGTCGGGGACTGCTGCAATCACATCCAGGAAAAGGGGTTACGCAGGGGTATGAAGAGTAAGTAAGAAAGAGAATGGACGCCTTCCATATCACATCATTTAGGGTTTGGGGCTGATAATAAATTCCTCTCCCACCCCCTAATAATATTCTCCCCAGCTAAAAATCATTCTGTATATCAGTCTATAGTATATTGAGGCGAGTATTTGTTATCTTTTGGGGGGAGGTGCAGAGGTTCATGATTGGGGTAGGGGATTAGCGGCTTAGTATTCATGATTGGCCCCAGTAGTTTCAGGGTCCCCTAGAAAATGTACGTTTGGGTTGTAAGGGGGGTTTCGGGTTTAGAATTTAGGGAAAGCATGCGGGGCCCTTTTTGGGGGTATACTTGTAAAAATGATTCTACGCTATTGCTTGGGGTCTAATTTGGGGACACCGACATTTTCGGTAACTCCTGAATGAAAAATAACCCAGGCGGAAAGTACAAGGATGGATCACTGCAGATTTTGCAAGTCTCTCTTCCCCAGTAACCAGGGCTAAACAAGTGTAAGCTTTATTATAGAGACCCAAAAGGGAAGCCCAAAAAGGTTGAAGTTCTTGTACTGGCTAAGTAAGGAACCCTGAAAGCAGCTAAAACACTAAAAGTTTCAACGCCCAAAAACCTAAATCCTGAACCCCCCAAAGCCCCAAACCCTAAACCCAGAATCCCTGAAACTTACAGACTTTGCAAGTAAGTTTCTCGTGTCTCAGAGGCACCTCTAAAGTTGCGCGACCACCGCGCCACAAGTTCGAACACAGGCCAAGGGGTCCTCGTGTGCAAAGCAACCCTAAGGGTCCAAGGACCCAGTAAATAGGGTCCCTTTAAAGGGGTTATAAGTTATAAGGGGATATATAGGGATATAAGGGGACTATATAGGGGTATATAGGACCTCAAATTTTAGGGTTTTAGGATCCAAATACTATAATATCTATGGTATTAGGGCCCTAAAGCCCTATTATTTGGATCCTTGGACCCTTAGCGCAAGTTGACGGTAGCGACAAGTACAGTAGGGCGTAAACCTTAGTAGGCCTTCTACAATTCGGCCAGAGACAGAACCACCTGCAAATTACTCTAGAAACCCGTCGATGCTCAGTCGACTGTTTGAGCGGGCCCCGTTGCGGAAGAGTCCCCAACATGAACGGCTTAGGGGTTCAGGGTTTAGGGTTGGTACCAACAAGCATGGTCACTTTTCTCGCTGCCGCTGCTGATGAGGCTGCTTCTACTGTTGTCGCCACCACCGCCGTAACCCTAAACCCTCAACCCGGAACCCTACGCCTCCAACCCACCGCTGCGACCCTGCACGCACGACGAAAGAACGGGCAATGAACTGAAGATTCTGCTCGTGAAAGTCCTATGGTTTACAGCTTCAAACTGACATGGAACCCCATCTAGGTCTCTCCAACAACCCGAGAAATTGTGGAAACCGTTTCCTGACTCTATGTGGATTTGGGAAGAACTTCAAGCGTAGCTTACCTGACCCATTGCAACAGAGGATGCCCCTCAATTTCCGACGATGGCCAAAACCAAAAAAAGCCTACCTGGGCAGAGGTTTTGGGGGTTGGGTTAGTAGGGAATAAGGGAATAGATTATAATCTACATTGGGATTCTATAGGGATTGCATTTCCTTGTTCCTACTAACCCCCGGTCTCTCCCCCAATAACCAGCGCTAAAAAAGTTTAAACTTTATTATAAAGACCCAAAAAGGAAGCCCAAAAAGTTCAAAGTTCTTCTATTGGCTAAGTAAGGAGTAAGCCATGCATGCTGCGGGTCCGTAGAAGGTTCTCCCACGGAATGTCTCGTAAATCTGTCCAGGAAATTTCGCCAGAGCCCTCGCCATCTGTCAAGAGCCAGGACCTTGGATGATGGGTATTTAGGGTCTAGGGCTTAGGGGTAAATCAATCCCGACAGCCTAACTATTGCGGTTTTGGGTCCATACCGAAGTTCATAGCTCTTCCCCCAATCCAGGAGGACAAGCAAAAGCCCTGAAGCACGAGACCCCCTCCATACTTGCTTACTAACTCTATGAGCCCCCCTGAGCCTCTAGGTCTTTTCAAAGGCCGAGGTGCATGATTCCAAGGGACACTCGCTCTGCAACGCAGAGGGCGGAAAAGCAATCATCCGGCTCCTTGGGGGCTACTGCTTCTGGGTATACTTCCCTCTACCCAGAGAACCCAATATGGCTTAATTAAGGAATATACCTTTACATGGTACTAAGATCCCTAATATGTTTTAAGGAATATTCCTTAATTAAGGGGTATTGGGCTCCCTGAGTACTTTAGGAGGATTGTACACGTATGCGCCGATCTGAGGTCTCTGATTGCAAAAAACTGAGCTACGGGGTTGGAGCTCATTTGTGAGATCTGAGGTGATTCATGCCTGCCTGCAATACCAGCCCGGCAAATAATTGTCAATTTGCACCCGACCCCTAACATCTCCCAATCCCACATGTTCCCAACAAGGGCCTGTATAAAGCGGGGGCCGTGTTTGAACATTGGGAGGTGGGGCACACGGAAAATTCAAGGGAACGGACTAAGAATGAGTAGTGTCCTATGACGCTGTCTACGCCCCATGCTTTCTTGAAAGACGTCTATGTGAGTAATCACTACTTGGATAGTCAGGGGTACATAGTAAGTCCACCTTGCCCCCAGCAGAAACACGTGAGCTATAGTCTAAGCTCCTAGTATCCCCCCTAATAGACCCTATACTACTCTCCTATATAATCGCCTTGAAGGAGTTTTTGCCCTAAACCCTTAACCCTAAAACCTAAACCCTATATGATGCCCTGAATAGCCCCCCTTTAAGGAGTTTAGACTAGAACGCACATTGGATCTTCTTGGCTAGCTCCGCAGCCGAAACTGTAAGCCCTCGGCCGTACATCAGCAAACCCTGTTAGCCTTAACCCGCTGTCAGTTTCAGGGGAACTGGTTTAGGGTGTAGGGTCATTGCTTCAGATCCGTTTGAACCTCTACAAAATCCGCAGTAACTTGCTGATTGTGAGTAGCAAATGGAGGAATGGATCGCGACAGTAGTCTCCATCAACCTGTCCGTCTAAGGGCCCTCTAACCACTCCTCTGCTCCCTGCTAACTACCAGAAGGTGGACCCCAATCTAGAACGGAAAAATTTCATAATCCTTCTTGTATGCACCCCCCATGAAGGAACCCCTGACTGTGGGGACACCCCCGGGTATGAACGACTTGGCAGTCGGGCATCACAGGCAAAGTTCACCGCGCCACGGAGCTCGCCCAAGAGCTGATCCTTCTCATGATGTGGGAGATTAAGATGTGGACCCAATCCCAATCTGTGACAAGATATAAAATAGTAGTGGGGCTGTGTATAATTGTAATATGAGCCATAGTCTAAACGCCTAGTATCCCCCTTAATATCCCCTATAATACTCCCTTATGGCCCCCATATAGCCCCCCTTAAGGAGAATTCAGACTATAGCTCATTTGAATATTATCTAGCTGCTAGCTGTTACTTTGGGCGTGGAGGGGGTGGGGGCGGGGGCAGTAGCCAAGCTAAAGTTGACAAGCAAGCGCACAACCTGACCATAAGCTTGTAAACCCAGATACCCAACCCCACGCCCTAGTTGCAGGCTCTCTTGACTCAGCAGTTTAGGTTTTAGGGCTTAGCGACTTAGTAACAAGGTTTCTGGGGCTTATGTTGGGTGATATTGGGCTATAGGCAGACGTGCGAAATCAGAAGATCATCCAAGTCAGGTCCTACAGACCCCTTGCAAATGCCCAGGTCAAAGGCCTTGTCATCGTCGAGCGAGCCATGCAGCCAACTGCTCACCTGTCTCGGACGTAAGCGGCTTTGAGACAAGAACACTTTTTATGTTTTGGTTTAATGTTGGTTCCTGATTAGTGTGGGGGTGCTGAATTGTGCGAAGTTTCGCCGAAATTATTCAGCACCCCCAGATTCGTTTGGGGGTGCTGAATTGTGCGAAGTTGCGCAGGCAAAAATAATAATTCTGAGAGAAAGTCAATAGAATCCTATTCTAATTTAATTAAAACCTACGATCTAGTTTGGGCCGATCCCGCCTATTGAATTTTAATTAGACCCTAGGATCCAGATTTGTTTGGGGGGGCCCCCCCCTGCTATATTAAAGAGGGACCCATATTCGTTTGGGGGGGGGCGGGGCCCTACACTAATCAGCACCCAACATTACTTTCTGGTGGTTACCAAAACCCTGAACCCTAAACCCATGGTTTGTAGGGACTACGCCAAGCAATAGTTCGGTGATTACCACAGGGATGCATTCCTCCAATCCCTACTAACCACTAGCGAATTTGGGATAGAGCGGTTACCCTAAAGCCGAAACCCTGAAGGTTCAGGGTCCCCAAAACGGGTTTGATGATTGGCTGCAACCCTAAACCCTAGGGATCCCGATGGCCCAATGGCGGTTTAGGGTTTAGGGTTTAGGTAATGTTTGGAGACTTTAGGGCCCACAGCGTAGGTATTTGTAGACATGGATTCCCAGGGAGAACCGTATCCCCCGGCTGCCCCCCCTCGCGTCTTTCGTTGGTGGTGCTAAGCAAACTGGCAATTCACTTAATGGCGATTAGTAGGGGTCCTTTTGAAAGCGGGAGGCTCCAAACTCTATACAAGGCTGTTGAGTTTAATAGCCTACAACAGTGCATCTTCCAATTTAAGTAATAT